TTACTTCAAGAATATGACTTTTAGGTTGTACATTGAAAGACATTATCTATTTTGATATAGACGGATTATCTTATAATTCAAATCTTTTAGAAGAAGAATTAATCAAAACTCAATGGTATTGAGATTATAATAGAAATATAGTACTTAGATGACATGTAGCTACATACTTGACTTTGATATTAGACTCTATAATTGTGGTTTTTTATCAAAGCTTAGATGATGAATTTAATAAAATCCAAGTAATTAGCAATGTATGAGAGGACCTTGTAGTCTTCTACAAGCTTCAATGAGGAACATTTTTTTTCAACTATCTTTGCTATAAAAAGAGATATGATATTCATCAAAAAATAATATTTTTTAAAAAAAATAATTATTTATTTTATGTATAATTTAATAGAACTTGAGACATAGTTTCAAGGCCAAATTAAAGAGCTATATTGGTACAAAAAGTATATGAAGAAATAAGACATTTTGAAATATGCACAACACATTATATATTACATAATTAATATTAGTAGAGTAGTATATATTAATATATAGCCAAACATGTTTCTTGGTATGAAATAAGTGATTGAGTCAAATCAAGCTTTAATACGATGTTGTATTATGTGTTGTCTTATTTGAGAATGCACCGGGCACCTAGTAGTAGAAGGTGAGGTTGTGTTTTACAAGTATCTAAGAAATCTTAATAGGTTTCATCCATATGAGAAGAATATAATCCAAATTTCAATTAAAAAAGTGCTAAAAAACAGTCTTCTTAGTAGCTTCAATCATACATAAATACTAATTATCTTGTTACTTTCATATTTAAGCAATTTATATTTTTCTTGTAAGTCCTAATCCTAATCAATGAGCTTTGATAAGTTGTAACTTCTAATCTGATTATCCACTTGATGTGAAATTTTGCATGCAATTGTCAATGAAAGCTTTCTATACGTTGAAGAAATTTCAGCCTAATCCAACTTACAAATTGTGAGAAAACCTCCAAAAACTATAGTGATGTCACTTTGCACCTAACTTGAAAGGTGATACAAAAGTTCTAGTAACGATTTCTCCTTCTCCAATTACTAACTTCAACTCAAAATTAATAATTAGCTTAATCTTCAAGTCTTCTAATACCATACCAAATTTCACCTTGATCTAACAAGTAGATCTCTAGATATCATAGAAATCCTATCCAACTCCAAACTGCTAACTTTTGGTATGTTCTTGTACCAAAACCTAGATATCTCTCAGTTACACTGTTAGATTATTATACAATTTTACATACACTTAGATCACCTAATTAACCAAGTACTATCAAAATTTGAACTATATATGTGACACCAATCTTATAAACTAGTCAAGAATATTAGCCCTAATTTCATTGCATAAATCCCAAGTTGCCAATATAAATCCTAACTTTCAACAACAATTGCAAAGTGCTAATAAATCCTACCAAAATCAACCTTACAATATATTAGGATTTTTTTTTTTTCTATTCACACTTATATTTTTAGATTCTCTTTTTAAATATAAGAGGTAGATTGAAAAATTTGTATTTAAATCTATCAACTTTTCTTGCAAATGTGTTAATAGTGCATTTATAATTGATTTAGAGTATATACTATGTTGTTGATTTGTAGCACTTAATGTGTTGTTTTGTAATGATCTTTGCTTATACAATAAATTCTAATCAATTTCATATAAATCCTAAACAAAATTTAATACACTTAATCTAATTTTAACCAAATCTTAGTGAAACATATATCAACTCCTAATAAAACCTTAGTCAAATCGTAATCAAATTTTAATAAAATTCTAGTCTAATCTTAATTAAACTTTCACAATTTTTAACAAATTCTATGTATTCCTAATCAAACCATAATGAAATCTTAAGTAATCCCAACCAAACTTTAATCAAATCTTATACCAAATTCAAATCTTCAATAACTATTAATTTAACCATTGGTCTTTATTCAAAGTTTGCACACCTCTCAATCTCTTAGTTGACAACAAGAATCACAAATTTGAAGAGAATAAAAAGCATTTATTGTTTTGTTCTTGTATAATTTGCTTTAGCACCAATGATTTGATGACATCCAAATAGAAAGGATGATTTTGATGTTATCACCTTATTTTTGGTAAGGAAGAAACCAAATTCTAAATTAAGAATATTTGTATAAATATAAATGGATTTCTTTTTTTTTACATCAAATTCAAAAGAAGAAAACAAATCAAGCTCTCTATTAAAAAAAAATGAAGGGTTGTTCACATTTCTATACCCAAATTGGATTAGATCCTAAGATTAGGTTTACAGCAAACTAATTAAAGGCACAAAAATGATTGTATATTTTGTTTTCTATCACAATGTGGGAGTGGATTCTAATGAGCCAATGAAAATAGTTTTGACATTATACTAGATTTTTAAACATAAGTTCAACTTAATAAGAAGAAAAGATAATTGGGGAGACTTGGAATAAAATCAATTTAATACAACCAACAAATACATATTAAGAAAGATGATTTGTTTTTTAATTTTTAAAGAAAGAATTCTTGCTTATTTAGGTAAGACCTAATTAGACATTTTTGGCACTATAACCAATCCAATCAAGGACTTAAAGAATATTCTAAGCACCGCTAGCATAGTTTAACATGATAATTGTTATGCAATTGTAACTTAAATAAAACAAGTTAAAACAGCCAGGCTTGATCTGTCAGTGTACGGAAGACTTCCATACGTAACCTCAGGATTCCGATCAGCTGACAACGCTGAAATTTTGCCCCCAGTGAGGATCGAACTCACGACCTTTCCCTTACGAAGGGAACGCTCTACCACTAAGCCATGGAGGCTCAGGCTTGGACGCCGCAGTGAAACACAAAATAATATTTAAATGCTTTTATTCTTGCTGATGCATAGCCCCAGTAACAAACGAATTTCAGTGTTTTCCAAATCTGAACATCACATCTAATTTACCAAGTACTTCTAAAACATCACATGTACATAACAATTTGTAAAGAATCATAAAAATAAGGGCGATAATGCAAACAAAGAATGATGTGTGGCACATGTGTGGCACATGATATTGGCAACACATCCTTTTTCAATACGTGGAACAGTCTACCATAATCCTACCATTGATTGAACTTTTAATTATTGTGATATTTAAAAACATAGTTAGCAGAGTCACTGTTCAGAAACAAGACAAACCCCTCTTCATTTACGAATAACACATCCATAACTAATTTCTTAAAATGCATATACATTCAAGATCACGTAAGCACTCAATCACATCACTATACACAAAGGTCCCTAACTAACAATAATGGGCCCAAAGTCTCTTCTTTTCTTAACTCAATCCTGAAAGGTGAAAATGGGAGGTGACCCTGTGAACTCAAAATATAGACCCACAAGTTCAAACACCAAATTTCATCACACATAGATCTCCAAATGTGGTTCCAGTTGGTATGCACCTGCTACTTCTAGTTTTGTTTGATGACGCACTGAACTGAATACAACGCAGACTCACACTGCTTCAGCAAGCAAGATCATCAACCATCGAACTGACTAGCTACCACCGAACGTAAAAGGACGTGAGTTTGGCCCACACCAAGGACAAGGGTTTCTTTTTTCCCCTTTTGAGGCACTGTACATGCTTTTGAACTATTTCGACAAGTTCTGGATTGTTCTGATTCGAACAAAAATGCCTGAAATAACTCATACTAGATACAAAAGAATGAACGCCGTACCAAGTGAAGAAGGATGTGGGAGGGAGGAAGGATGGACGAACATCATGTCAGGAATGAATAAATGAAACAATGCATATTCACTGTGTAGCGCTTGCTCCCCAGCTTCGTTGTGGGTGCAGGATTAGCAGATTCAACTCCTAAGCAGGCGTTGAATCTGAAGTTTGTTCAGGTTTACTCTACACACAGCATTAATTGGTTAATGAGAACCGCCTTCCTTGCAACTGGGCCTACTCCGCATGAGTACTACGGTGTCCCATTGGTGGCACTTCTATTTACCTTGGTTCATTATTGTGGGTAATCCGGGGTCAAAACTGGTGCAGAGAATTAGCTGTGTTGAATAAGCAAATCGAACATGACAAGTGCAACAAGTTACGATTCCTTCACGGAACTTGACAAGGCAGGAGTTGCTTGTTCATGTGGTACATGGGCTCACAGAGCGCAGATATCTCTTCTTCTACTGCCGCCTCGAGTTCTAATCATCTCTGTTGCACCTTCTTAATGGTGGTTTTTATGGACGAAATTTACAGCACGTAGGAATGGGGCGTGGAGTTTAGTGGTGGACCCCTGGATTCCATCATGGGTGATTGTTATTGTGTGTACACAATATGGGTAGACAGGAAAATGTATTGAGTTCTTTTCTGAAGTCGTCATGTGAGCCGTATTTAGTGTCTGGCAAAAAGTTGTTTTCTTATCTTTGCAGTTGTGATTATTTTAGTTACAGGTGTCTGCATTGTTTTTTGTTTGTTTGGTGCTTGCAGGAAGAACTGCACTTCTGCTACAGGATATTATTAGAGAATGCTTTCTGCCCTCCTGGTTTCGAACTGCTTCTTTAAGAGCGGCAGTTCAACCTTACAGGGTGACAACGAACTACTGAGGAACCTTGCGTGTACATAACTTGGATGTGAAGGCTATGCTAGTGGTGCTGTTGCCTGGGTTGCTGGTGAAGTACTGAATTGAGCTCGTGCTTGGGGATTAAGCCTTCACTTCTGTGACCAACGTTTGGTCTTTAATCCTGTGCTTTCAAGTTTCTGATGTCTGTTAGCATCACTCAAGTGTTTCTTGACCTTACCACTGCTTATTGCACAGGGCTGTTTAGACATCCATCTTATGATTATTCTTTGCATCTTCACATCTAATGCCTCAAAGATTGATACAGTTGGTGATGTAGGAATAACTGTTGTGTGTTGTTTGGGGTTTACATGCTTCACACGTAACCATTTCAATAGAGGGAATAATTACAGGGACCTCCAGCTGCGATACCCTACGTGAGGTTCTGTTAATTATCGCATGAATTTATTTTCTATTGAACGCAATACAATTGTAGACCATATCCTCAGTAGTACAAAAGAAATCAGCCAGAGTAGAAACTTCAGCACAGAAAAAGCTCACTGAAGAAATTTAATACCGTGAACGCCACGGGTTGACCCAGCTGTATCCAGAGCCTACTTAGAATTGCTGGCTTCGTTGGAACGTATTTAGAAGTAATTTTCGCTACGTTTCTCTTCAGCTAACGCCCCAATAAATAAACGATTGCCAGCAGGGAAAGCCAATCTGAAAGTTTTGCCTGTTCAAGAAAATGTACGTGTATCAACTACATTTTTTCAGCACTTTAGTGCTTACTTCTAGCACACTGATCTTTATGAGGCATCTATGATGAATAGACAGGAATTAGTTTTTTGATGCTATCCTAAGAACACAACTAACACAACTCATGGGTTGAGCGGAGAAAAACATGGAAGGCAGTGGCAGGCTTCTTGGAAATACTGCCAACTGCCTCGAGGTAGCACTAGGCGTTGCAGAATTTATGGCAATTCCAATGTGGTTTGAACGTGTGAATCAGCGAATAGCTCCCTGTTGGGTCTGACCTCTACAGGCTTGGTACTCGATCGAGTCTGAAGGACCCAGAAGTTAGATCTGGCAGAAAAGGTTGGAGTTGCACTCGCCTAGATGGACAAACAAACAGATTAGGCACAGAGACTGGTTGTTCGGACATACGGCGTGCACAGTCAGCTTCCAGGTTGCTCGATTCATACCTTAGTCAATTTCTCGCAAATGCAGTCTGGGTTCTGCACAGCAGATTTGCAGTTAGAAAGGAATATGCGAAGTTTTAAAAGACATTCAGACACACCCAACTTGCGCAACGACACGTTTTCAAGAGAGATCGGCTATGATCATCGATGCGTTATCTTCCATCAAAACAACACCAGAGAAGCTCAATGTGAGCAGAAGCAACCATAAGATGCGAGAATTAATGAACAATTGTAATATCATAGTATATGATACAAAGAACAAAGTTCTATTTCGAAGATCATAAAATTTCCAAACCTTCGATTCATTTGGAAGTAACTGATCGACTCTACTGAAACCCTACATTGACAAAATTAGACGTGGCAAGGCTATTGCCGCTATAATTTTAGGCCACAACCTGCCGCATAATACATTATGACTAAAATTAACTATCCATCTACCAAAATTTCATCATGTCTCCACGTGAGTGTGCCACCAATTTGTTTGCATACAGAGTGCACATCCCAAATCAAAGTGAGTGGGAAGCAATGATCCAGACACATGTATTAAATGTTCGGCAGCATCGACCTCCAGAAAATTATAGCCATCCTAAATTCCACATCTTGAATCTTAAAGAAGCAAGCTCAAGGCATGGTGACTAAAAATAAGAGATATCATTAATAAAAAAATATATACTTGTATATGTAGAAGTTAAGATGGTTGTTTGCTATCTTCTAGAGATGTAACGCATGAGACTATTCTTTGATTTCTTGATTTTTAGCAATTAAAGATCATAATAGCATTGTAATATTTAATGTAATAAGATCTCTGTCCAATTCATTTATTTTAGAATTATCTTGGTTATAAAAGTATAATCCTTATATAGATTGGATTTTTTATAACCTCAATTTTTCCTATAGTTTAACTCAAAATTCCATTAATTAAATAAAAATACATCTCAACCATATTGCCTCTATTGCACTATGGCTTATTGCCATGTACTCCGCCTCCATTGTTGACCTTGCAATTGTTGGTTAACTCTTGCAATTCCATGAAATTGCTCCCACTCCAACAAAGAATATATAGCCTGTTGTTGACCTTCTATAGTTTGCATCTCTAGCCGAATCTGCATCACAATAACCATGCAAACTAATGTTATCACCTCCAAGGTATAATTTGAAGTTCAAAGTGCCTTTTAAGTACTTCATCATCATTTTGATGGTTGCCCAATGGATTGGTCCAGCCTTTGATATGTATTGGCTTACAATACTCACCGCATATGCAAGATCCACCTTTGTGCCAACCATTGTATACATAAGTGAGCCCACTGCTTCCTTGTATGGAACACCTTGCATTTGACCTTCAACTTCAGCAAACTCTTCATCCGTGAGCTTCATCAACTTCAAGTTTACTTCCAATGGTGTTCCAATAGGCTTACACTCCTCCATATTGAATCGTTTTAACACTTCTTTAATGTACTTACTTTGGCTCATTGTAATGGTCTTCTTAGCACGGTCTCTTATTAACTCCACTCCTAAACAATAGTGAAGCTCTCCCAAATCACTCATTTCATACTCATTTTCTAACTTTGCCTTCAACCAAACCATCATCTTCAATGTATTGGTTAAGATGATCAAATCATCAAACATAGAGGATGATAATCAATATGAACCTATTTGATTGTATCACATATAAGAAATGATCAGCCTCACTCCTTACAAATCCTTCACTCACAAAAAATGTATCAATGCGTTGGTACCATACCCTTGGTGATTGCTTTATCCCATACAAGGATTTCTTCAACTTACAAACTAGGTGTTCTTTGCCTTCTTCAACAAATCCTTGAGGTTACTCCATGTAGATGTCTTCTTCCAAACTTCCATTCAAGAAAGCCGTCTTCACATCCATTTGATGCATCTCTAAGTCCAATACTGCCCTAATTGCCACAATGGTTCTAATGGTGGTGAATTTGGCCACGGGAGCAAATGTCTCATTGAAATCCACACCAACAACTTGTGAGTAGCCTTTAGCAACCAATCTAGACTTGTATTTCATAATATTGCCTATTGCATCCCTTTTTGTTCTAAACACCCACTTATAACCAATTGAAGATCGATTTGGTGGAAGTTGAATCAATTCCCATGTTCCATTGTCTATGAGTGATTTGTACTCTTCTTCTATAGCATTCTCCCATTTCAATGCATCCGTGGACTTCATTGCATCACATAAACTCAATGGATCAACAAGAAGTGCAACATTGGCATGTTCTTTACTTACTTGAGGAAAGATGTGGTTCTTCTACCATTCACCACGTGGTTTTCTTTCTCTCAAAAGATATCTTCTTTCATTTGAAGAAGGTCCTTCTTCTTACATTCCATCCTTCTTCTTCCTCAATGCTTGTCTTTTCTCACTCAAAGGTTGATATTCTTCATCATCATCACCTTCAATATCTTCATTGTCTTCATTATTGGTTCTAGCAATTGAAGGCACACTATGATTTACCTTCTTTGGCACTTGATCTTGATTTCTATTTCCTCCATCCTCATTGTTATCATCATCATCTTCTTCTTCTTTCTTAGCTGAACTTGAAGATGTGTCCACAAACACACCTTCACTCTTACTTGGACAGTCTTCCAAGTGCTCAAAAGTACTCTTATGCTCCAAAAACTCTACATCACGACTTTTGATGATCTTTTTGGTTTCTAAACACATTAGTCTATATGCTTTGGTACCTTCACAATATCCAACAAATACACATTTTGTACCTTTTGTATCAAGTTTGGACCTCATACAATCTGATACCTTTGCATAAGCAATGCATCCAAAAATCCTCATGTGTGAAATACAAAGTTTCTTCCCACTCCAAGCTTCCTATGGAATCATTGATGTAAGTACACTTGTGAGGTACCTATTCCTTGTGTATACCGCATTTACCACAGCTTCCGCCCAATATTCATGTCCAAGGTTTTGTGTATGAAGCATACTCCTTGCCATCTCCACAATGGTCTGATTTAATCTTTCAGTGACTCCATTTTGTTGTGGAGTGTAAGGAGTAGAGGTTTGTCTTGCAATACTTTGAATCTTTATGAATTCATCAAAATGCTTTGACATGTATTCACCTCTATTGTCCATTCTCAACACTTTGATCTTGTACTCACATTGTTTTTCTATAAGAGCCTTAAATTCTTTAAACCTTGAGAAACATTCACTTTTAGCTTTAATGATGTAAATCCTCACCTTTCTTGAAAAGTCATCTATGAATTTGACAAAGTACCTTGCTCCTCCAATTGATGGTGTTTTCATTGGTCCACAAACATCACAATGCACAATCTCCAACAATTTAATTGTACGTGTTGCAACTCCCCTTGGAAATGAAGCCATTTGTTGTTTGCCTTGTATACATCCTTCACAAGCAAGTGTCATGGCATTATGGCTGAATTGACCAAGATCCAAGCCACTTACCATGGATTGGAGTTCCTTCATGCATTTGGCATTCAAATGACTAAGTCGTTGATGCCAAATTCCAAACTTGTCTTGATCTTGTGAAAAATCAGCAAATGCTGCCACTTCAACTCCATTCACCTTCTTGCAATTGATGAAGTAGAGATTTCCATCTCTAAGGCCTTTGGCAACATGTTGGCCATCCAATGTCTTGACAAAACATCCATTCATATCAAATTGAACCCTATAACCATGTGATACAAGTTTGTTCACCGAAAGGAGGTTCTTCTTTATTTTTGGAACATATAAAATTTCCTTCAATGTGATCCTCTTGATTTGGTCCTTCACAACAATCTCCACCATAATGGAGCCAATTCCAATGGCTTGTACCATACCATTGTCTCCCAACCACACTTTTGTTGTTGGAATTTCTTCATAAGTGTTAAATAAACACTTGTATGGTGTCATGTACTTAGTAGCACCTGAATCTATAATCCACTTCAAAATAGCAGCCATGGAGGCTCCTTCCTTTGCTATGAAAGCATATTCATCTCCACCAAAACTATCACTAGCATTGTTTGCATTCTCTCTATCTTGTTTCTTGGCCTTGTAGCAATTTCTAGCAAAATGACCTAGTTTTCCACAAATACAGCAATTCCTCATATTGCTTTTTGAATTATCATGTTGGTAAGAATAACTACCTTTGTCTTGTCTTGAAAATAGAGCCAAATCATCACTTGCAAGCTCCTTTTATTTTCTCTTGGTCACTTCATGGGCAAGTCTTGACATGACATAGTTCATGGTAAGCTCCTTCATGTTGATGGACTCCAATGCCACAATGAGGTAGTTGTAGGATTTGGGAATGCTCATAAGCAATGTCAATACAATGTCTTTATCATCAATTGATTTGTCAACAACTCCTAGTTGGTTAGCAAGTGCTTTTACCTTGTTAATATGAGCCATGAGATCATCTCTTTCTTCTATCTTTATTGTTAAGAACTTCCTCCTTGTCTAAAGGATGTTGGCAAGGTTTCTACTCTCATAGATGTTGCAAAGAGTCTTTCATGCTTCCACTGTTCCATTGCAAGCTATAACATGTGAAAAGTTGGCATCATCAAGGTTTGTTGCAATCATCCCAAAAGCCTTCCTTTCACGATGTTTGTACTTTTTCTTCACCTTGATATCACCATTCTTACTTGGAGGGTCTTCACTTTCATCAACAATGTCCCAAAGGTCCAATGAGGCCAACAAAAGCTCCATTTTCTTCTTTCAATGGTAAAAGTTGTCACTTCTAAACTTTTCAATCACTTTCAAGCTCTCACCTTCACTTGAAGCCATGTCTAGGGAAGAGATGTGTGAAAGAAAAATAAGAAAAGAGAAGATAGAACTCTCAAAATTAACAAGAAGGTATTGCTACCTTACAAACCCAGAATGCCTTCTTTGTAATTATACAAGTGATTTTACTCTTGTATCATTCTTAACTTCACATATAAGACTTCTCACAAGTCTTATACTCTATCTAAACCTCTTGCATAAGCTTTGCCACTCTTCAATCACTCCTCTAACTACACAAAATACTTCTTATAATAATAGGAAAATCTCTTATAAAGTTAAGTATATGAAAGCACAAAGTTAAAGCACCAATGATGAAACTCAGCAAAGAAATGTAATATTCAAGTTCTAAAACATCATTAAATGGAGTCTAACAACAATCAAGACTATCAATGCACTTAACAACAAGTAAGAGCAAAAACTACATCAACAACTAGATGCATAAGAAGGGTTAGAAGAGAACAAACTCAAACTTCAGTAACAACTATAGGATCTATTCCTCACAACAAGAAAGATTTCAAAGTACTTCAAAATTCATAAGTAAAGGTGAGTGGGCCCATAACCTATTGAAGAATAAGCACTTTGAAGACACAATACTTAGCATGAGCAAATTTGTACACAAAGAGAGTATGGATTAAGATGTCTCTCACTTCCAATATCCATTACTTATAGGTAGTGGTTGCTACCCTAAAAGATAACTTTCACTCTTTGACTTTTACACATGTGGCCCTAGGATCCTTTTGGCATCTCACAAGCCTCAAGGGTATCCTATGATACATACTAATGACTCATACTTAGACTTTGGATATTTCCTTGTTAATAC